AAATCGATTTTCCTTTGTAAGTTCGAATAGTGATTATTCGTTACGCAATGCTGACATTGCACGTGAACGTGCAGTTTGTTACGAAACCTATTGTTCGTAACAACACTATATAAAGAGAGTGCAGTTTTTAGTAAGTCATTCCAGGTTAATGCTAATCAAACAGTATACTTGTTGCTTACGCTAAAGATTTTATCGACTTACGAAATGCCTCCCGTTGACGAGAGAGAGGAAGACTCTGGAGACGGCACACGCGAAGAAATCGATCCCATGGAAAGCAGGCAAGAGGCCAGCAATTTAGAAAGAGTATTCGACAAGTTTAAAACTTACATCGACCAATGCAACGCTTAGATACATTTTCTAGTTCAAGCACTACGACAAACAAGAAAGAACAAGGGCCCGATGGAGAGACTAAAACCTTCAAAAGGGAAACAGAAGCCAACAAACTCAAATACAARGGAAATCAGAAACAATTCCTGYTCAATGCCAAATTAGRAGACCATACAGAATATGCTMTAARTCTTCTGAAGAAAGACGATTACGAAGGTTCAAAGAAGGCCTTAWAAAGCTTGATCGGCCTTATTCAGAATAGGCAAAAATTGATCAAGTTAGCAGACAAGAGCGAGGGAGGTTGGCTAGTWGTAGAAGAGTATGAACAAGAGGAATTAGCGGACGACTCAGATGATGAGAAAAGGATACGCAAGGCTCAAGCACAAGCCATAAAGAGGAAAAAGAAGCTGAACACAAATTATAACCAGGCTGGAAAACGCCCTAAGGTCGAGCGAAGCCAAGAACATAACCAAGRCAGGCAGCTTTTTCGAGGTAAACTGTAAACACTATTTTTCTCGGCTTTCTTTGTTTATTCCAGAGCTTGTTTAGCAATTAACAAGCTACCCAAGTTATAACTTGTGTTTCAGTGTCGTATTTTATACCTGTATAAAATATTATCAAGGAATTTTAAAGGAAAATATTTTTCATTCGTATGAATGAAATGAAGGAGAATGAAAATCGATTTTCCTTTGTAAGTTCGAATAGTGATTATTCGTTACGCAATGCTGACATTGCACGTGAACGTGCAGTTTGTTACGAAACCTATTGTTCGTAACAACACTATATAAAGAGAGTGCAGTTTTTAGTAAGTCATTCCAGGTTAATGCTAATCAAACAGTATACTTGTTGCTTACGCTAAAGATTTTATTTTTGCAGTTTATTCAGTTTTATAATTTTATTCTACTTTACTTTTCAATTTCCATGTTCAACGCGCCAAAGGCTATAGAAACACTCGTCAGTCGACCGACACGTGCTTCAAATGTGGGTACAAAGGCCACTGGAGTTCAGAGTGCACAAGCACGAAGTACCACYCCTCTACCTACCAGCCACGTAGATATGAGAACCAATCAGCATACAGGAACGCAGGAGCCTCTGCAAGCCCAACCAAATGAACTTTCAGAAGACGAACATGACATTATTGAGGTAGACAATACTTTTTCGATATTTGATAAAGGGGAAATTGCCTCAGAGAAAACACCCATCCAGAACGTTCGTGGGAGACTTTTAGAGCATATAGATTTTTGGCAAAAAATTGGAGCTTGCGATAACATTTTGTCAACTATTATAGAGGGCTACAAGATCCCTTTTTTGACTAATCCTCMGCACTTTAGACAGAAAAACAACCGCTCTGCATTTGAACACGAAGAATTCGTCACTACGGCTATTATAGAACTAATCGAAGGCGGGCGTATTTCAGAAACTAGTAGCCAAGCTTTATATAACATTAACCCTTTATCGGTGGCCGTACAGCCATGTGGGAAAAAGAGACTAATTTTAGACTTAAGACTTATCAATCAACACTTAATCAAATACAAATTCAAATACGAGGATTACTCTAAAGCATTAGAATATTTTGTCAAAGGAGGATACGCCATTAACTTCGACCTCAAGAGCGGTTATCATCACGTTGATATCTGTCCTCAGCATAGGAATTACCTGGGTTTTTCATGGACATTCCCTAATGGTCATACTCGCTACTTTATGTTTAATGTACTCCCGTTCGGTCTGTCTACAGCTCCGTACATTTTCACTAAATTATTGAAGCCACTAGTTAAATCATGGAGGAATTACGGACTGCATTGTGTTGTGTACTTAGATGACGGGATAGCAATAGAAGACTCTGTAGACAAAGCTGATAATGCTGCGCTATGTATGAGGAGCGACTTAGAAGCGGCTGGTTTCGTATTGAACTTTGAAAAGAGCACATGGTCTCCCGTTCAAGAAATTATTTGGCTAGGCTTTTTATKGAACTTTAAAACAGGAACTATTTCAGTAAGGCAAAGCAGAATAGATAAAGCTCTCCAAATCRTAGGAAAATTGTTATCCAGTTCAATTGTCTCCGCCCGTCAGTTGTCGTCTTTTGTGGGCTCTATAATTTCTATGGGAGCAGTTTTTGGTTATTTAACACGTATCATGACAAGGCACTGTCAAATAACTATTGCAGCTAGTTCCAGTTGGGACGTTGATTTTGAATTAGACAATTTTTGTCGTAAGGAAATTGAATTCTGGCTCAAAAACATTGTTTYTTCCAATTGCAAAGAGATCAACAAGTCAGCTTGTAGATATAACAAATTTGTTTACTCTGATGCCAGCAATAATGCGTGCGGGGCATTGATCATAGATAATAAAGAAACAGTAGCCCATAGAATGTTCACTCAATTTGAGCAGGAGTTATCGTCTACCCACAGAGAACTTATTGCCATCGATTACAGTTTAAAATCATTTGGACATCTGTTGGAAAATTCCTGCGTTAAATGGTACACAGATAATCAGGCAACTGCACGTATTATTGAAATAGGAAGCATGAAATTGGCCTTACATCATCTAGCTCTAGAAGTGTTTTCCTTTTGTTTGTCTAAGGGCATACAATTACATATCCAATGGATACCTAGAGAACTTAATACGGAGGCTGATGTTATCAGCAGAATTCAGGATTGTGACGACTGGCAGTTATCGCAGGAATGCTTTAATAATTTGGAAGAAAGGTGGGGTCCTCACACCTTAGACTGCTTTGCCTCATTTTACAACGCAAAGACAACTAAGTTTTATTCTCGTTTCTGGAACCCCGGTACTTCTGGAGTTGACGCGTTTTTTCATCCATGGGAGGGAGAGAATTGTCTAATAGTTCCACCAGTWAGCCTGGTCCCCAAAGTACTGAAACATTTGAGCTTATTTGATATCAGTGCCACACTGGTGGTACCTAACTGGCCTTCAAGCAGTTTTTGGCCCTTATTATGGCAACKTTACGCTRYTTTTATATATGAATATGACTATTTCCAAGGGAATGAAGCTCTTGTCCATGGTAGGAATGTAAAATCTATTCTGGGTTCACCTCAATGGAACGGGCGCATTATTGCACTACGGATGTTTTCGCGGAAGGTACAGAATACACCATGAAAATGAGTGATGGTTAGTAAGGCGTTTTCGAGTCATATATCAGTTTTATTCATATGCGAGTCCACAANTGTTTAAAGAATCTGGGCTACGACCCTAAGCTTTACGGTTTACATAGTTTCCGCTCTGGCGGAGCAACATCGATAGCAAACAACTTAAAAGAATGCCCGTCATTAGAAAGGTTGTTAAAAATACACGGTCAGACACTGCCAAAGATATGTACATAAAAGAACAATTGCAGCAGCGAATGAAAGTGTCAAAGAGCACGGGACTTTAGTTTCCTTCAATTTAGATTAAAAATAGAGTGTTATGTTATTCAATTAATTTGTCATCAAKAAAGCAACAGATACTTGTTTAGCAATTAACAAGCTACCCAAGTTATAACTTGTGTTTCAGTGTCGTATTTTATACCTGTATAAAATATTATCAAGGAATTTTAAAGGAAAATATTTTTCATTCGTATGAATGAAATGAAGGAGAATGAAACTAATGTTTTATTAATTAGGTCTGTATCAGGAAAACGTTGAATTATAATCAGCCCCGCAGTCCCCTGAAAATATTCAAATCCGCCCCCAACTTTGAGCTTGCTGAAACTTTAATCCAATATAAAGGTATAATCACGTGATTAGATTCTCAGTATATCATTGGCTAATGACACTATGAATTATTAATGAGTTTGATAACTTACTTGATAAGTATGACGATCATAATAATACCACCAACGCCAATCATTATGGATAGACATATCATTGCACCAACAACAGCAGACATTCCTCCAACGGCTGTTGATGTCCGAGCAGACGTTTTAGGTCGTCCATACTGGATTCGCCATTTTTCATATTGTCCGTTTATCAACTCTTGCTTTTCTTTGCTACTCAACGTTCTAAAATGATAAAAGGAATGCTTGTGGATTTGAAGTCGCGAATGCTAACGCAACAATTGATCATTTTCAACAATTCCCATGAGATTCAAAAGATTAAAGACCGGCGGCCATGTTGGAGGAATGAACAAAAGATACYAATGAGAAATCTTTTGTTAAAGTTTCTCCAAGATGGCCGCTGTGACGTAACTTGAAAACGAAGAATAGAAAAAGATAGCAGTGGAGCTGTTCAATGTGATAGATAATCTCAATTGAGCATATAAAATGTGTTTTTTTTTGCGATGCGAATGTTGGATCTATGAGACATATGAAATGGAAATAACAGGAAGTTAAAGTGCTTAGAAGGAAGTTATTCCGGCCGAAAGACCCCGGCAATAAAGAGACATACCCAACTATCGATTCGTAGTCCTTTTCTTTGAAATCATTGCTGTCTTTGTTATCAACAACGTTGACCAACACAAGGGAGCTGTTGTAATAGATAAAAACATTGTTACTGTACATGAAGATTATRTGATATTGTTGAATATGTGAGTCGCACTACGTACACCCAAATAGTGTATATGGTACTGTAAGCTGCAGACAGTAAAAAGGTAACTTTATAAGAGTGAGATTAGATATTCTAGAACTTATTAAGAAGTAATGAAATTTAAGTCCAATGTGGCTTGGACCATTGAATCGCATGATTAACCATTACAGTGAGGATACTCGAACCATG